TACACGACGACTAAGCAGAAAAACCAGTCTCATACCTGACCAAGACCCGACGTTAGCCGCTTCATCGCTACCGTTGGGATGTGGCAAGCCTTGGCAGACTGTTCCAGAAAGCCCTTTCCAAGGCTGCCAGCAATATCCACTAAGGAGAGGAGCTAGGGAGAGCAATGCCGGGCCAGGGGAAGATGAGACAAGTTCCCTGGTCTGGGGAAGACATCTAGGAGGGCAGCACCCGGGCCGAGTGCTTTACGTATCTGGAGGAACAGCCAGGGCTTAACCAGCGAGCAGTTTCTTCCACCTGCTTTCCTGGCCTAAAGAGCTTCTGCGTTGCCCAACACCGTTCAGGACCTTCGCCTCCCTAAGAACAACGCAAACGTGCTGATGGAGAGAGAGAGGAAGGAAAGTTTCACAGCTGTTTAGCTGATCCAAGCTCATCCTCAAACCAGGCAAAAGGGGCAGTCCTGCCCGCTCCCCACGGCATCAGTGCTTAGGCAAACACAGGGCTTTTTTTTCCTTTTTGTTTGGTGGGGGGGGTTTGCAGGATTAGGTCAGTTCCCCGGCCCAGCTCACACAGGAGAGCTGCAGGGAGAGGGCAGGCCCTGCTCTTTCAGCAGTATCCAAGACTTCAGCTGGAGGACTTTGGGCTGCCAAGCTGACCTAAAAGGGTGGCCGGATCCTCTCCAAGCACCAGGGCTCCAGCTCACGGGAGCATCTGCTGTAACGCAGCGCTCCACAACACCCTGCTAGCAGGCAGCTGCAGGGCAAGCTGGACCAGCACTAAACCCCGGGTGCCACCGAGCTCGCTCCTTTTTTGTTAATTCTGCGGCTGGGTGACCTCCCGAATGGGGCTGAGCTGGGGGCTGCACACGCCGGATCCTCTCCAAGCACCAGGGCTCCAGCTCACGGGAGCATCTGCTGTAACGCAGCGCTCCACAACACCCTGCTAGCAGGCAGCTGCAGGGCAAGCTGGACCAGCACTAAACCCCGGGTGCCACCGAGCTCGCTCCTTTTTTGTTAATTCTGCGGCTGGGTGACCTCCCGAATGGGGCTGAGCTGGGGGCTGCACACACGCCCGGCCCGCAGGGATGCGCCAGGCTCGGCGGCTGCAGCGGCAGTGCCCTTGCACCCCGGCTCTCCCTGGGCAAGGGGCACGCACCGCAAGCCCCCAACCCCTCCCACTGTCCTCAGGACACGGGGCTGCCA